CTCTTCACAGTTCTCAGTCGTTAGCACATAGCCTTAGGAGCCTATGGGCAGCCATCTTGACAATGTGGCCCTAACATGAAGCTGACACTATGGGATTCAAAAACATGGAAAGAAAGTAGGTCCCCGGTAGACATCATTCAGCTAGGCTCAAGGAACTGTGTTTATGTTCCAAACCTCTTTAGACATCTATTTTATGTTCTCTTCAGCGTCATCTATTCCAACTATTTTCTGCATACGCAGTCTACAAAGTATTGGGTATGAAATGGTTGCATGACTGCCCTTGAGCTAGCGGAACTGGTGATTATTGCCTTATAATCTCTTGTAGAAAGTGTCATGGCACTGTGCAATGGAGTTATCACTTTTTTTCAGCTTGTGCCCAAATCAAGAAGAGGCTTTCCAACCTAAGGAAGGGAAATGTAATCCTTTCCATTGCCCAAGAGCAGAGATAACAGCTGGGAGAGGGAACACACATGGGGACAGATGACTTAGATTAGAGAGACATTGCCAGAGCCAATGGACATATGCCATCTCTGGCTTACCAGTTTACATTTCTAGCCATGTAGGAATCAGAAATACTTAGCTGTTCAAGGCAAATACAGCTATAACTAGAGATGTCCAAGAAAGACAGCTAGGGAGGTCAACTGGAGTCACGGCAATAGCAAGGACACACATCATTTTCATAGCTTCCTAAGTCACTCTAGAAAGGATATACCAACTATATTTTAAAGGTATTCTCAGCTTTAGCTTTCAAAGATCAACTGGAGAGAAAAAGCTCTTAAGAGAAAATCTTGATGAAAGAGTTAGTGCCTTATCATCTCTTGTAGCTCATACGCTGTGTTTGCCTCATTTCTGGGATTTGAAATTATAAAAATTTAATCACCACTAACCTAAGCAGAGCCTAGTTTGCTTATGTAAACTTAAACTTGTTCATACAAGGCCACAAAAAAGCTAAAGTTACAAACCAAGGCTTAACCAATGAAGTAATTTTTCTATTGAATGTTTGGTTATGAACCATACAGCAAGAATGACAGAGGTCCATAAATGCATACTATTGATTTTGTATATGCTTGAAATATTCCAAATGGCATTAATTTCATAAAAGTAATAAATCCCTTCACACAATTTTGATGATAAGTTTCAAGAGTGAGTTTTATTTAAGAAGTGATTCACCGAGGGTCTCTTCACCTAAAAATAGCTATACCAATGTAAAAGGAGCTAATAAGTAAATGTTACCTAAAAATTTTCCTCAAATCCTTCATTTTTTTCAATGCATTTATTTGATGAGTATATTTTTGACAATGATTTATATTAATTACACAGTAAAAATTTCTACTATACATGTGAATTAATTAGATGTAAGTTTGCACATACAAATATTTCATTGAAAAAGATACAAAAAATAGTTGGAATCTGAAAGGAAAGCATGACAGTTAAAATAATTTTCCAGGAAAACTGAAGGTGGAATAAGTTTCAAAAGGAAAGATGTTTTTATTTATTTCATAAATAAACTGTAGACTCTTACCAAAAGAAGATACTTAAGTAATGACTCAGCACTTCACTTGACTTGCTTTTATAAATAAAGCCACAACTATTCTTATAGTAACTAGTGATAAACTCAAGAGACCAGAATTCTTTTAAATTTTGCTTATAGTGAACTCAAGAAAGTTTGGAAAACATTTGTCTTAGAACTAGAAAAAAAAAGTAGTTCTATAAACATCACAGTGGTCAGTTAGGAATATTATATGTACCTAGTCAATAGGAGAAGTTCTACAAAGAGAAGATAAAGATTAGGAAAAGGACTCTCAAATAAATGCAGTCACTGATTGGACAAACAAATGGTCAAATTCTCATAACATATTATGTGGTAAAGGAGTTTTTCTTTTCACTGGTAAAACAATTATGTGCATTTTGGATTTTTCTTAATAAGGAAAAAAATTTTATATACTGGAGGCTTCATTCTGTCATATGATGATAGTTCTTGTTTTTTCTTGTTAAAATGGACTGAAATGCTTCCATTGATCACGTGTTATGTTTATAATTTTGAAAATATATTACTTTTTATTTAAGTTTACTTTTTTATTTATTTTTATTATTTTTTTAATTAAATCTTTATTCTTCAGATTATTACATTTGTTCCTCTTCCCCCCCCCACAACTCCCCTCCACCCAGTTCCCACCCCACCCTCCGCCCTTACTCCCCATCCACTGTCCTCATTCATAGGTGCGCGATTTTTGTCCAGTCTCTTCCCGTATCTCCCACACCCCTTCCCCCCCCAAGAATAGTCAGTCCATTCCCTTTCTATGCCCCTGATTCTATTATAATCACCAGTTCATTCTGTTCATCAGATTATGTATTCCCTTGATTTTTAGATTCACTTGTTGATAGATGTGTATTTGTTGTTCATAATTTGTATCTTTACCTTTTTCTTCTTCCTCCTCTTCTTAAAGGACACCTTTCAGCATTTCATTTAATCCTGGTTTGGTGGTGATGAACTCCTTTAGCTTTTTCTTATCTGTGAAGCTCTTTATCTGACCTTCAATTCTGAATGTTAGCTTTGCTGGATAAAGTAATCTTGGTTGTAGGTTCTTGGCATTCATCACTTTGAATTTTTCTTGCCACTCCCTTCTGGCCTGCAAAGTTTCTGTTGAGAAATCAGCTGACAGTCGTATGGGTATTCCCTTGTAGGTAACTGAGTTTCTTTCTCTTGCTGCTTTTAAGATTCTCTCTTTGTCTTTTCCTCTTGGCATTTTAATCATGATGTGTCTTGGTGTGGTCCTCTTTGGATTCCTTTTGGGGTTCTCTGCGCTTCCTGGACTTGTAAGTCTATTTCTTTCACCAGGTATGGGAAGTTTTCTGTCATTATTTCTTCAAATAGGTTTTCAATATCTTGCTCTCTCTCATCTTCTGGCACCCCTATAATTCTGATGTTGGTACGCTTGAAGCTGTCCCAGAGGCTCCTTACACTATCTTCGTATTTTTGGATTCTTTTTTCATTTTGCTTTTCCGGTTGGGTGTTTTTTGCTTCTTCGCATTTCAAATCTTTGACTTGATTCTTGCAATCCTCTGGTCTGCTGTTGGGAGTCTGTATAATATTCTTTATTTCAGTCAGTGTATGCTTAATTTCTAGTTGGCCCTTTATCACAACATCGAGGGTCTCACTAGATTTCTTGAGGATCTCACTACATTTATCGGTGGTCTCACTAGTCTTTTCGAGGGCCTTACTAAATTTATCAGCGGCTTCTAGACAGGTCTTGTAACACCTTAAAAGTGTGGTTTTGAGCTCTATATCCAGCAGTTTGCTTTCCTCCATTTCTGTCATTTGTGTCCTGTTTCTTTGTCTCCGCATTTTTTTTATGCTTTCTTGGTGCACCCCCTTGTGGTCTTTGCGTACAGTCTTGTTGTAGTTAAGCCTTGATTGTTGTAGGTAACACTGGGGGGGGGGGGGGGATTTGACCTCCAGGCCAATTGGCTGTGAGAATCAGCTGTGTCTGTAGTGGGAGAACTTCTGTCCTGATCTCTAGGGAGGTGCTAATCTAGCCTCTGCTTGAGGCTATCCAGCAAATGCCTCCGTGCAAGGCTTGGGCGGGGCGAGTCCCAGGGGATCAACAGGGCGGGCAGAGAGAGCAGTTATGGCTGCTCTCAGTCCTGCCTTCAGAGGCTCTGCTTCTCAGTGTCCCAGCAATTGCTGCAAGTACCTTGGAGAGAAAGCTGCCCTCGAGTTCTGACCGATGCCAGAGAGTCCCGCTTCTCTCGTTTGAGTCTGGGTCCCCAGAGACTCGCCCGGAACTGGAGCTCAGAGCCTGAGACTCCCTCCCGATTGAAAACGACAACCGCGCCCTCAGCCACCAGCCCGCTACGCATGCACCTCCGCACCTTAGTATTTTACTTCCGCACCACACCTCCTCTGAGTCTCGGTATGCTTTTCTCTTTCCTTCTAGTTGTAGAATTTCCACTCAGCCAGCCTTCCTGTGGTTCTGGGTGATGTCCATTCCGTCTTTTAGTTGTATTTTTGAAGTGGTTGTGCGAGGCAGCAATCTCTGGTGTTTACCTATGCTGCCAACTTGGTTCTCTCCTAAGTTTATTTTTATTGTTGACACTATTGTTACAAATGTCGTCATCCCACCCACCACCCCTGCTTTGCCCACCTCTACCTAGCCCCAACATCGTTTCCCTCTGGCTATCACCACACCATTGTCTGTGTCTCTATGTTATGTATATATGTTTTTTGGCTAATCACTTCACCTTCTTTTATCCATTCACCCCTCTCCCCTACAGCTGTCAGTAATTATAGTAAATTATTTAATAAATCATGATAAATTTTACGTAAAAAATTGTATTTTATAACTACAAAAAAATCAGTGAAGTGATTTCTAGTTTGAGAAAAAAGAAAAATTATAGTTAGAAATTTTATTTATCCCTTATAGTAACCTAGGACAGATTTACTTCACTTAACCATCTCCTATGCTGTAAGCTGGAAACAATACTGCTTGAGCAGAAATAATAAACTACTAAGAATATCACTTTCTGGCCCTAGCCAGTTTGGCTCGTAGATAGAGCGTTGGTCTGTGGACTAGGGTCCCGGGTTTGATTCTGGTCAACGGCACATATCTTGGTTGCAGGCTCCTCCCAGGCTAGGGCCCTGGTCGGGGCATGTGCAGGAGGCAACCAATCGATGTGTTTCACATCGATGTTTCACTCTGTCTTTCTGTCTTCCACTCTCTCCAAAAGAATCAATGGAAAAATATCATAGAGTGAGGATTAAGAAAAAACATACAAACAAACAAAAAATCACTTTCTATAAATAACTGGAGTGTTGAGATAATTTTTGGATGACTATAACCTTCGACTAAATGATCTAAATAAAAAGTGTTTTTTATACCACCAGGTCCAGAAAAAAAAAAAAGGCTGAGGGAAGTATAAGTAACATATCAGAGAAACACAAGAACACACAGAGCCTTGCTAAATGGTTCATGTGGAAGCCTAATGATCAGATATCTTACCTTGGTTTTTGGAGATGGTTTTTGCACATCTCTTTCTAAGTCTTTTGTTAGAAGGATGGGTGTGGAGTTCTTATAACTGGTCTCCTATAAAAGAAGCATAAAAGGAACATTAGAGATCAAAGAACATTACCCAAGCTAGAAATTACAATGCAGTAAAAAATAACTTTTCAGGGAAATGGAAGGCATTCTGGATTCAGTTGTTCACATCAGAAGCTAAGGAGATTGTAGCGAGGAGTCAAAAATGTTTCCTTTTTTATTTGTGACATACAACAGTGAAGATGGTGATGGAGTAGGTGTGGAACATACAGACATATATATTCAGAGATGTCCATTAAAAATCTCATCTTGCCCTGGCTAGTATGGTTCAGTTGGTTGGGTGTAGTCCTATTTACTGAAAGGTTGCCAGTTCAATTCCCAGTTAGGGCACATGCCCGGGTTGTGGGCTCAATTACCAGTGGGGGGCATGCAGGAGGCAGCCGATGGATGTCTCCCTCTTACAGGGATGTTTCTCTCTCTCTCTCTCTCTCTCTCTCTCTCTCTCTCTCTCTCTCTCCCTCCTCCCTCCCTCTCCCTCTCCTTTTCTCTCTCTCTAAAATTCAACTTAAAAAAATCTATCTATCTATCTATCTATCTATCTATCTATCTATCTATCTATCTATATTTTTTAATTGATTTCAAAGAGGAAGGGAGGGAGAGAAAGAAATAGAAATATCAATGATGAGAGAGAATTGATCAGAATTGAACCCGGGACCCTTTGGTCTGCAGGCCAATGCTCTACTCACTGAGTCAAACCAGCTAGGGCTAAAAAATCTTTTCTTTTTTTAAAAATCATATCTACACTATCATGTCACATATCCATAGATAGCTTACCTCTTCTTTGGAGAACTGATAGTTAATTCTCCAACTAACCACCAAACTTACAGAGTTGCCAACTTTTCCCATAGTATTTCATGAATTGGTTCTGTTTCTGTAAATATTTTATCTTAAGCAAATATCTTCAGATAGTTCAGCAAACTATTATTGAATAGTGATAGTTTCATAGCAATATCCTAATTGAGGAATAATATCTGAGTATTTGTTTCCAAAATTATGACACTTTTCAGTCCTTGGTTCACATCAAAATAGTACTTACAAAAATAACAGCAGAAATTACAAGGAGGCGGCCTACCAGGTGTTGGATAAATTTACTATTTATTTCTACGTGATAAAATAATAATGTTATTGTCTTATAAAATAATATAGGACCCCACTTGAAGAGCTATTAACTTGGATATGTTTTCCCTGGATGATTCTATCTCCAAGTTGAAAGAACAAAAATACAAAAAAGAAAGATTACATACAACTATAAAATGAAGGAGAAAATAAGTCAAATTTCTTTCACTTCATAACTTTCACCTCTGCCTCCCATATCTTCCCCCATCATACCTATAATTCAACCATCTAAATTATGTGTTTTCCTCCCAGTTTACTTTAGAGTTAATAGGATATATATATATATAATTGATTTAAGAGAGGAAGGGAGAGGGAGAGAGAGAAATATCAATGATGAGGGCGAATCATTGATTGGCTGCCTCCTGCACACCCCCTACTGGGATCGAGCCCACAGCCCAGGCATGTGCCCTTGACCAGAATCAAACCCAGGACCCTTCAGTACGCAGGCCGATGCTCTACCCACTGAGCCAAACCAGCTAGGGGTAGGTTATATTTTTAATTGTAGTCTACATACTTTATATATTACTAAAATTTGCTGGAATTATACTTATTTATTTCTAAAGGGAACAGTATATCATTAGGATAAAATGTTCCTAATGAAAATAAAAATACTACTTACTACTAACAAATATTTACTGAATCATAGTGTATATCAGGCACTGTTCTAAAAACGCTGAATTCATAATGTCCTTTTCCCCCAATAGCCCTATGAGTTAGGTACTATTATTATCATTGCCCTTTTAAGTATAACACAATGAAAGCTTACAGAATTAAGTAACTTGCCAAATATCACAAAGATGGTTCTGTATAACTTTAAGATCTGAGCTCTTATCTTTATATGTGACTTCTCATCCAATACATTTGACATCTTAAGTCAACAGGTTGTAGAGCTATAGCATTTTAAAGCCAAAACAACTGTTAAAGATCAAAATGTGGTCAACCCCACCCTCTTCCCAATTTTACAGAGAGGGACTTGGATCCTGAAGTGATGTGACCAAGCCCACGCAGACAGTGCTGGAGCTGAGCCCCATGCCTGGACCACAGGGTTGTACACAGCACCTGTTCTCAGCTCTGTGCCAGGGAACAATATTCCCAGACTCAGAGGGAATTCAAGAACCTGTTCTTCTGGCGGGTAGCTGTGGTGCTGCCAACACTCTCAACTGCCTGTGGCCTCACGTAGGAAACACTTCTGAGATCTCCAAATAAGTGTGCATTCCAGTCTTACCCTTTCCCACCAGTCACACCACCTGCTGGTGGAAAGCTAATTACTGGAAATAGTGAATGAACCCATTCCCACTTCTGACTCACTGTGAGAAGGATAAACAATATGCAGCATGACATTTAGAAGATCAAAGTGATTAACTGCACAATCCATTGCGTAATTTGACTGCACTTGAATAACATAATTACACTTAATCTTCTACCCATTTTTAAAACTACTAGTATGTAAATCTTAGAATGTAATGAGAAGGAAAAAAAGGCTGACTCTTAAAGGAAATTAATAGGAAGAGCTGACCTTTGTTTATGACTGAGTGTTTATGAACACCTGTAATTCTTTCTTCCTTATGCACAGACTAAAAGTAATAGTATTTCTTTAATACTATTTTCCCTCCTTGTCCCTATGAATTATTGATAAGTATAAGGTTTATAGTAAGCTATTCTCTAACACTCTGAAAGCTTCTTCTGTAAACTTTTATCTGAAAGTGCCACCTGCATAAATGTTTATTTTTTGTTTTATGACTTTAAATTCAGACAACAGAGACAAAGTTTAGTAGTCAGAGGACTAAGCTAGGAGTCAAGAGATCTGGCTTCTTATCCAAGATCTCTAACTAGCCAGCTGTGGGAAATCAGGCAAGCATTTTAACCTCTTGGACCTCTCCCTCAGTTCCAAGATCCATAAAACAAAGGGATGGGATTGGCTAGATGAGATCCAAGAATCCTGCCTAGTCCTTTAGTTTCAAGGTTTTATGATTCTTCTGGGAAGAAGCAACATTTATTGACAAAAAGGTAACCCCCAGTGCTACTGAAATACTGGCCTGAATCTGTGCACTGAACACTGAGCAGGGGATCCAGAGCCATAGGCACAGGGAACGTTTCCTGCAGGGCCACTGTTACTCGGATTTCTGGAGAAAAAATAATTCAACTAGTAGTTTAATAAGTAACTGGTAATAACTTAATGTATTCTTTCAAAACAGATATATTATGAAGTGAGAAATATTTTAAAGATAAAACTTAAAGGTTGTGTCTTTAAAAAGCCACTTATAGGTATACTAGAGGCCCGGTGCACAAAAATTTGTGCACTCGGGGGGCAGGGAGGGGTCCCTCAGCCCGGCCTGTGCCCTCTCGCAGTCTGGGACCCCTCGGGAGATAACGACCTGCTGGCTTAGGCCTGCTCCCGGGTGGCAGAGGGCAGGCCCAATCCCTAGGTGCAGCCCCTGGTTGGACTCAGAGCAGGGCCAATTGGGGAGTTGGGGCGCCGCCCCCTGTCATGCACAGAAAAGGGCGGATTGGGAGGCTGCGATGCCACCCTCAGTCACTCTCAAGGTAGGGCCAATTGGGGGGTTGGGGCACCGCCCCCTGTCACACTCAAGGCAGGGTCGATGGGGAGGTTGCGGCGCCACCCCGTCACGCACAGAGCAGGGCCGATCAGGGGGTTGGGGAGCTCCCCCCTGTCATGCACAGAGCAGGGTCGATCAGGGGGTTGGGGAGCTCCCCCCTGTCACGCACAGAGCAGGGCCCATCAGGGGATTGGGGAGCTCCCCCCTGTCATGCACAGAGCAGGGCCCATCAGGGGGTTGGGGAGCTCCCCCCGTCACGCACAAAGCAGGGCCGATAGGGGAGTTGGGGCACTGCCCCCTGTCACACACAGAGCAGGGCGGATCAGGGGGTTGGGGCGCCGCCCTCTATCACCCACAGAGCAGGGCCGATCAGGGGGTTGGGGCGCCGCCACTTTCACACTCAGGGCAGGGCCGATGGGAAGGTTATGGCTCTACGCCATCACACACAGAGCAGGGCCCGTGGCGGGGGGGGAGGGGGGGCGCCACCCTCTATCACCCACAGAGCAGGGCCGATCAGGGGGTTGGGCGCCGCCACTCTCACACTCAGGGCAGGGCCGATGGGGGGGTTATGGCTCTACCCTGTCACACACAGAGCAGGGCCCGTGGGGGGGGGGGGTTGAGGCCCCGCCCCCTGTCACACACAGAGCCGCAGGGCGATCAGGGGGTTTGGGCGCTGCCCCCTGTCATGCTGATCCCAGTGCTGGGAGGCCTCGTGGCTCCACTGATCCTGGTGCTGGGAGGCATATTACCCTTTTACTATATAGAATAGAGGCCTGGTGCATGTGTGGGGGCTGGCTGGTTTGCCCTGAAGGGTGTCCTGGATCAGGGTGGGGGTCCCCACTGGGGTGCCTGGCCAGCCTGGATGAGGGGATGATGGCTGTTTGCAGCTGGTCACACACCCTTCAGGGTGGGGGTCCCCACTGGGGTGCCTGGCCAGTCTGGGTGAGGGGCTGAGGGCTGTTTTCAGGCTGGGACTGAAGCTCCCAACTGCTCCTTTTTTTCTTTTTTCTTCTGGGCCAGCTTTAGCTCTGGCTCCAGCACTGAGGCCTCGGCTGCTGAAAGCAGGTATCTGGTTTGTTTAGGTTCTATAATCGAAACTCTGTATCAACTCCAGCTCTGAGATCCCAGCCGGCTGAAAGCTGGTTTCTGGGGTTTTGTTTAGCTTCTATATTTGTTACAATGTTTCAGACTGCAAGCTCAGAGGCCGGCAAGGCAGGCGGGGAACGTTGGAGTCCTCCGTCACTGAAGCAAGCAAGCCTCATGTTCAGTTTAAGCTGCCTGGCTGCCAGCCGTCATCTTGGCTGGCAGTTAATT